CACAAGTGGATGAGTGGCAGTTCGCATTTTAAATTGATTGCGTTAAATAATTATATTTTCAAATTCTTGTTTGAAATTGAGATAAAAAAAAGAGAAAATACCTAAAACAGAAAAGTAATTTAATAATTTTTATGCTCAGTTTCAAAGGAATTTATTCTTCCACTGATGGTAGTGCACCTGTTTGCTGAAAACACCATTTAGTCATTTTTTTAACACGTGCAAGAATGGATTTCCGTCAGGAGAAAAAAAAAATTATATCACTAAATAATAAAAAAAATGTACTTTTACAATTAAAATTACATTTTCGTGGCTGTGATATTCATTAAGAGTAATCACACGTTTTAAATTCCAAAATAGCGTGTTTGCATTTTAAATAATATCATGTATGATTCTTGTAATTTTACACCTTAGTCTTAAAATTGTCATAAAGCGTTTAAGAAAATAATTACATTTTTAAAACATTACTTTTGATTCTTTGTAGGTTTGTGCTCTTAAGAAAATTATACATTTGTATACACTTAGTGAACTAAATATTACCGATATATTCTAGTAGCTTTCGTCAATATTTATCTCATCACAGCCGGTATTTTTCTGTCATGAACTAAAAAGGTGACGATATCGTTCCTGAAAAATATTATTTCACGTTACAATAACCGCTTTGAATTCGTTCAGATTTTGTTTGATCATTCTGAACGTTCAAGTATTCCTTCCACTTCATTTAACAAATACTCAGTTAAGGACTGAAGTCAGTAAACTGAACTGGCAATGGAAGCAATTAAATTAATGCTCTTTAAACGAATCCAAGACCATACAATTTGGGAAGGTTGTTCCTAGAATGACAATCAGCATCAACATCGCAGCCATAATTGAGTGTATGTCATAAGTAATAATTTTGATTTAAATTATGCCGTTAATAGTTAGTTTCAGAAATATTAAAGGATCTCTTGCATTCCAGAAAATTATTCTGGCATGATAGCGCCATCAACATGGATATTTACATCGGTCCATGGATTTGCTTAGTTTGATCTATATTCCTATCGCGTTGCCTGGATAGTAGAGCAGAAATTTAACCACCTGGGCCGAGAGAAATGTTTCTTGATCGTCAGAAGTCTGATGGTGCTGCTCCGGAGAAGGCTGTACCGATAATTTCCTATTTTTAAATTATACTACAGAAACTGTTAAAGGGCTGTTGCTGTTAAAAGCTATTTGTTACGAGGTCTAACGTACTGCGTGTTGGTAGTGCTTTATGGTAAGTCTGAATCATTCATAGCTGCAATTTTTTGTTCCTCAGTTATCACGGTCGCTTTGTGCCAATCGCTTTTCACATTTTACATTTACCAATATGTTCCGTTAAAATATATTTTTGTTGCCGAATTGTTTTGATAAAAACCACTCGATAAACATCCGAGATACAGGAGAAAAGCCTAGGTCACTAGCAATTTCTAAATTTTGGAACTGAAGCTTCATCAGCTAACGATCATGCTTTTTTAAATTATTATAATCTTTCATTTTTCCCAATTGCACACCGAGATACCTCTTTAGTCCAAATGCTCCCTTATTATACTATAACATGGTACGTAGGTCACTCTGAAAGTTTTAAGATATGCGCAGATGATAACCGGCAGAAAACAATTAAGAGTTGGATTTGAAAGTATGAACTATTTTAGCCTAACAGACGATTTTTATTGGCCATTTGCAAGTAGTTTAGCGTAGAATAAATTTTAAGCAGAGAGGAAAATGTAGTTAAAGCGAGAACATCAATTCACTATGACTTTATATGATTAAAAAAAAAAAATTAAATCAACAAAAAGAATGCATTCAAGTCTACAGTTAGCATTAGGAAATATAGGTTCATCCCGTGCTACTGTATTCAGATGGTTTACAGAATTTCACAGATGTTGCAACTCTCTTTGGACTGAAAAAAACACACAGTAAAACCGTCGTCAACAGTAATCCCAGATAATGTGTTTGCCATACCGGAAATGTTAATCAATAAAAACTGCTGCAACCACCAAATAATACGAAAGGAACTTAATATTGGTTTACAATTATTCCGGAAAAACTGCATATGAAAAAATTAGTTTGCCTTAGGGTTCCCCATAATTTAACATAGCACCAAAAAGGAGGAACGTGTCAGAATCAGTAACGAAATGCTTAATTTACCTAAAGATGGTGGCCACCGCATTAATCAAACTGGTGATGAAATGTGCATGCGTCTTTGAAGATGATCTGATGCCCACAATGGGAAAAAGACAAGGTGCCATGAAAACATAATGTGCGCCATTGTTTCAGAAGCACAGGATTGGTCAAAGCCATCAAGGTGGAAGGAGAGAAGACAGTCACAGCTAACTGTTACACCACTAAGTGTGTTCCAGAAATTCTTCAAGAATTGAATGGTAAAGGATTCATGTTTCACTGTGACAATGCTTCTTCTCCATTCAGCAAAATTGTCGGTTGGGTTTCTTGAACACAAACACATCAAAGTGATAAATATCCACCCTGTTCACCTGATCTAGCTTTGTGTGAGTTTTGGCTGTTTTTTAGTCTAAAACGAACTTACGAGGACGTCCGATTTCCTTCCGAAGATGAAACTGATGAGATTATAAATGCATTTTTAAATCGATGCTAAGAATTGAATGGATTGAATGAATTGAAAGTGTTGGAAAATTCGCCTATAAAAGTACATGGATGCTGGAGGAGACTACGTTGAACACTCAAAAGGAACATGCGTTAGTTATATAGGCAGTTCTTCATTGCTATGCTCACTGTCAGACTGGTCTCGTAAAAGAAGGTATGACTGTAGTCATTCAATGTACCTAAAAAACTTTTTTTTATTATTTTAAAATTTTAAACACTTTTTAAATCAATTACATTTTTCCTGCTTAGTGAAATATGTTAAAATCATTATAAATAATTTTCACATTTTTAAATAAAAAATAAAATGGCGGTAATTGTCATGGTTTTAAATGTTCCGCAGTTCTAGAGTTAAAGCTTATATTTAATCAGAAATTTTGATGAACAGGTAAAAAGCGATGCTCACCTATACACTTTCCGTAAGTCGATAGCATGTAGCCTTCACTGCAGATGCATTTTGTAGCCTTTTTCTTATCAAACGTGCAACTGGCTTCTCTTCCGCAATTACATTCTGCAAGACGAATGACAAAATGAGCCCTAAATGCATATATTTATCTTATTATCTGTCTATTTGTAGAAAGTGATGTGGAAGTTTTGCACAATATTGAAGGGTACGCCATTTCTTCATTGTGTGCGATTATTTGCTTCCATTAATTTATTTTTAGAAAATATCTCTATAAAACTTGATATCACTTATTTAATATTTGTGAATAAGTAACATGAAAAACTAAGGTAAAACGTGTTCAAAAACATTTCTTTCAAAACCTCATAATAAACCATTTTTATGTTTTTATCAAATTTTTATGTTATTATCATTTTTTATGTTTTATCATTTATTATACTTTTACTTTATTGAGAAATAGGGGGCATCAGCAGACAATAGATAAGTTTGCTGAACAATTTTCAACCTCGATTTTAATTGTAATACAGCATCATGGTGGGTAATCCAAACAAATGACGAAATATAATATATAGCAAAATATAACGAATAATAACCCGAATGAATGTTTTACGGGTTACACCGGTGTTTTCGTAGTTTTCTTTATGTGTAACATGAAAAAAGTTTCTTTTATAGAGTTTGCCGTGAAGTCAACCATTTGTGTTAGAAAGGTAATCCTTCCTTAGCCTCCTGTAACTTTATAAAAACCAACCAAGTTTTTGATTATTTTCAATACGGTTTCATAGTTAGTTAAAAGAGATATGTTATAAAAATATTTCTTTGTTGAGTTTACATAAATGCTATTCCCATATATCTGTCTTGAAACAATAATAATCTTTATGCTGCTGAATTTATGAAGTGATTATCATGGCTTGCTCCAAATGTTCAGAATTAAGCTTTACTTAAACAGTTGTGGTGTTGCGTGGCCCCAACTTGCCCGCAACAGTAGTAGTGACTGCTATGAACTGGAAATTACACAAACTCTTAAGAATGGTTTAACTCCCTTTTTATTCCACTCTAGAAGTTACAAATGCGTTCACTTGACGCTCACAAACTACGCCGACCCGGCGGTTGAACAAAATAGACGAAAATGCAACTAAAAATAAATGACAGGATGAATAAATAACGAAGTCACTACCTACGAGGCTCTATAAACGTGGCTAACTTAACCGCGTTCTAAGATACAGCTGAGATTTCAGCAAACTTTCTGAATGAGAAGTTGAAAGATTCATCTAACTGCCGAAGTAGGCACACAGGCCGAAACGCGCGGTTCTTAAATTTCTACCTAGCAACCTTCACCCTCGTGAATCAAGAAAGCACACCTACAAACTCGTTTCCCTTCTATTTAACTCAAAAATACTTCCGCTGACAATTTGAATACTTTGCGCGTTCTACTAAAATTTACATACTCTGGCATTGGCAATTCCGGAAAAGTAAATGCTTGACAGGAAAGTTAGCTTAAACTTAAAATAAATGTTAGTAAAAATAAATATAAACCCTACACAGTCATTGCTAATTATCTTGAATAATTGTTTTATTAATGCATTGCGATACTCTATTTTATACTTTTTCAAATTTCCATTTGTTTCTTATTTGTAACAGAGTAATAAACTTTTTTACTAAAATTACTATATTCTAAATTTTACGAAATCTGTTCAACGTCTTACTCCAATTTTTCACAATATTTGAAATGGTGATTTAATGCCAGAGCAAATATATTTAGTTATCTTTATATTGGAATAACAATAATATTTCATTTTGTGTAAGGAAGTTCAAATAGATCTTGAATCTGTTCCAAATAGCTCTCCAAAGAAATAATCTTTGATGTCTTTGTTAAGACAGTTATTAAATATATTTTTGCTTCTTTTAAATATAAAAATATTGTGTGATCGGAATTTTCTGTTTGGGAATCAAATATGCACTTTGTTCAAAGAAGAGAATAAAATTGATTTTTTTAAAAATTTTAGCGTCTCTTTATGAGATTAATTTTATTTATATTATGAATTCAATCATGCCAAAAAAGACCTCAATTAATAATTTTGATTTTTTAAAATTTTGTTTATTGATATCATTAGCGGGCGAGCTGTAAAGCTGCTGAACACTGATAATGTAGTCTGGCTTCCAATTCCTGTGAACAGGCTTAATACATAGCTATTTTCGTGTTTTTTTCCAATGTGTAACGTGTATACGAGCCAGTTTTCTTTACATATCCTTACGCATGTATCGCTGTCCTCAGACAGATAGCCTCCGTATGACATCCCTAATGTAATACATCAAATCAGACGTTGTTGATTTTGTAATCACAGGCAGAGTAATAGGTGGTAGTTTCATTTCTCCTTGCTAACATTGAATGCCGCCTCTGTAAATAGCCATTACATTCTTCCAAATAATGATTATTTAATCATATAATTTATTGGAAACAAATTCACTAATTGTGTAAGAAATCTTAAATTCCAAATGTATGAAAATTTGTGTCGAATATCTTTTTGTGAAATGCTATGTTAAGTATTTAGTGATGATTAATCTGAATAATTTTTCTAGGGCCAAACAATCGAGACGAAATATTGAATGCGTATTTTGAAATGTATGAGCTTTCTATATTTTGTTGTCTACTGAATAATATATTTAGCCATGAAAATATTATAGTTAACCGGGATCTGGAATTTAAAACTTACGAAATTTCTTAGTTAGAAATTTAAAGAAAAACGAGTTAATAGCGGTTTTGAATCATTGCATTTGTTCCTTTTTAACAGACTCAGCTGTGAAATTTAGGCAATTAGGCAATGCATATACATTACCTATTGGAAAGCCTTAAGAATTTTATGGGATTTATTTATACCGCAGTTTATTTCCAGTGTTACACTGTCCCGATAATATCATGGCTATTCACTATGATGTAGCTAATAAACACGAGACTGTACTTCTGGTGACGGAGCATATGCTCAGCATCGGAAGTCTATTAAGTGTGAAACTGGGTTAGTTATCAAATTAAGGAGTACTGTAAGTTGGTAACAATGGTTCCCTTTCAAGGCATATGTACAGAGGTATTTCTTCTATTAAATTTGCCGCTAAATATATATATATGATATAATGAGTCAACATAAAAAACATCGTTAACAGACAGATTTAAAAATACTACAGTCAAAAGTCGTTAATCCGGACTCGTCGGGACTTCGGCGATTCCGGATTATCGATTTTTCCGGATTATAGATCATCAGTTTAAATCTCGTAAGATGAAATGCAGAAATTCTAAAATTAAAAATATGAAACCGTAATTTATGAAATAAAGAACAATTATGATCTAAAGGGTATCAAAATTTGCAAAAAGAAACGCTTAATATTTATTGTTTACTTTATTAAACATTTCTTTCAATGTAAGTTGTTTAAGTTTTTCGTTTTCATGTGATAATACTTTTCTTTAATTCTATTAAACAGACATAATTTCTTGTTCAGTTACAAAGTTCCGCTGTTCAAGTCCTATAATTGCTGGTCTAGAACACCGATTAATTTGTCAATCGAAATTTTCTCGTTTTCAATAACCTCTGTCACTTTCTTCGCTATCGAAAGCGAATTATAATGACGAGGAACTTGTTTTAAATCATATCAAAGACGGATCATATCGAGATGAAGTACTACATTTGGTAAGGAATTATAAGCCAAATAAAATAAAAACATCTGCGCTGAAGATAAGGATAGTGTTGACAGATCAACTTCCAATTCATTACGCGCCCGCCGCGGCGATCCCCCCGCCGAGCAGCGTGAAATTGATAAACAGATTTCGGATTTCAAAACATACTTTTCCCTTTAGATCCTTTACATATTAACAAATAATATATCGGAAATTCTATTTGATATAATCGAAAGTTTAAGCTTACTTTTATAAAATTGCTCTTACAGTCTGCAAAAAATAATAAGCCGGATCCAATTTGAAAATTAAGGAACAACGCAATCATCAACATTAACTGAAATAGATAATTAGATAATTTTAGCTTATACGTCCATTATACATAAAACGCGCACGCGAAAACGTATTCTGCACTTGCGCACACTCATATGAGCAGTCGTAAAACGTCTTACGCGCATGCGTAAACGCCTATGCGCATGTGTCAACGCGGCGCATGCGCAGAAAGTTTTTAGTTTTGAGGTCCGGATTATAGATCATTCCGAATTATGGGTGTCCGAATTAACGACTTTTGACTGTATTTCTATAAAGAAAAGCAAACTTATTTCACGTACTTTGGCACACTGTTGGTGTAACGTGGCCGTACTCCGGTGGACACCGACAGGCAATTCCCCTCGGTTTCAGTTCAAAACACATTTCCCGTTAATGCATTCACAATCTATATGAAAATACAAAATTTGTTATTAACTTTATAATGCCTTATTAAAATCACTTCTAAATTTTTATAGTGAGAAAAAATCAACATCGGATTTTAGGTGTTATTTCAGACGGCTTGCTTCGATAGTTACTCAACATTTTATGCTTCACGTTTCTTGAAAGTATATGTGCATGCTACATATACCTTTCAGATAGAGATACAGTGGTGGCCAAAAGTGTGGATACTTTTGGGAAATATTTATGTTTTTGAACTTTGCATGCTTATAGAAAATGTTACGTTTCGCAAAATGCAAACTTGTATATATTATTTTAAAGAGAATTTATTAATGAATTCAATACAAAACACAAAATTCAATTATTTGCAATACAAAAAAAAGTTATATGTACTTTAATATAAATAAAAAAACACAGTTATGAAGTGGTTTGTAATGTCTAGCATTCCTTGCCAATCACTGTTCTTGTTCTGAGAACCAATCAAATGTTAGTAACTGCCAGTAGAAGCTGATATCATGTTTACACTTGAAACAATTCATTATTTTGCTTTGTTCTGTAGAAGGAGGACCTGTTTCTTATACACTGCAATTCCATGTAGGAATTTTTGTAAAAATTTTTAATATTTAGTCAAGAAGCAATGACAAATAAAAGAGTAGATTGGTCACCTAGAAAGAGATGTAATATTATTGTGTTACGAGAAAGTGGTCTATCCTATGCTGAAATTGCAAGACAGGTGGGTGGTTCAGTGACTACATCTGGAGTCCGAAAGTTTTGTTTACGATATCAGGAGACAAATTCAATAAGAAACAAAGAAGGAAAAGGCCGAAAAAGGTGCACCACATCTATTGATGACAGAAGAATAAAAAGACTATGTCTCCAAGATAGGAAAATGTCATCAGCGGCCGCCAGAAGTGATCTGAATGATGCTGGTGTTTCTGTCAGTTCAAGCACAATCAGGAGAAGATTAACAGACGAAAAAAGCCTTTTCTTAATTTTCAGCAACGAAAAAAAAAGACTAACAGTGGGCAAAGGAACACGTTAATTGGACAGATAATCAGTGGTCACAAGTTATATGGAGTGATGAAACCAAGATATCGTTATTCGGTAGTGATGGGCGAAAATATCTAAGACGTAGAATAGGAGAAGAGCTACATCCTGACTGCATTCAAGCAACTGTGAAGTTAGTGTTATGATTTGGTCATGCATGTCAGCAGATGGTATTGGTCGCCTTTATGTCATCGATGGGACACTGAATGCCAGAAAATACATTGATACTATTCTAGAACCAAAACTTCTACCTTCCATCAGAGATCTCTTTCCCAACAATGCTTTGTTTATTTTTCAGCAGGATTCTGCTCCTTGCCACACGGCCAAAATCTCGAAAGAGTGGTTTCGTGCAAGGAGCATTAAATTGTTGTCATGGACAGGAAGCAGTCCTGACCTCAATCCTATCGAAAATTTGTGGCACCTTTTGAAATCTCTTGTCTGAATGAGGGGACCATCAAATAAAAGAGGAACTAATTGAGGCTATAATTGTTTCCTGGCATCATGTAATAACGAAAGAAGAGCTTAAAACTCTTGTCAGCTCAATGAAACGTCGATGTGAAGCTGTAATCAAAAATAAAGGGTACCCTACTAAGTACTGATAATTCACTGCAATCATTACTATCTAATATATATCGATAACTATTAGCATTTAACTTTTTTTGTATTGCAAATAATTGAATTTTGTGTTTCGTATTGGATTCAGTAATAAATTCTCTTTAAAATTATATACACAAGTTTACATTTTGTGAAACGTAACGTTTTCTATAAGCATACAAAGTTCAAAAACATAAAAATTTCCAAAAGTGTCCACAATTTTGACCATCACTGTATAATAACAGGAAAATGGAAAATTATACATCATTTATTTACAAATTTATATACATATATGAAGATATTTATGATTTTTATACATATAGGCATATGAATGAAATAAATCAAAGTGTACAAGGAAATTAGGTAAACGAAAACTATTAAGTACGCAATATTAACTGCTTTTAATGAATAGTAATTAATTAGGTGAGTATATATGAAATATATGCAAGATACAGATTTTTCAACATACAATTTCAATTTAATTAATAGCCCATAAAACCTCATTTTAATCTTATTACTTGTCCTTTCTGTTCTAAAAGTATAAACTTGCGTGTCTTTCTGAATATTTAATTTAAAATTATTCCTTGTCATGTGATTTTTATACAGGATGTCCCAGGATAATTGGGGCAAACTTTAATGGGAGGTAGGGGACATTACAAGGATTTAGATTTCCCTAGGATCATAAAGGATTTAGATTTCCCGTTATACTACTTTCCCATGATGTTCCCCCATGTTTGGAAACATGATGGGAAAGTAGCATAACGGGCACAAGGGACGAAGAGACATTAGACTGAAATCATCTGAAATATTTATTGGTCATGAGCTACTTCGAATAAACTTCCTACTTTGAAATAACCTAATATCTCTACAACTCTTTGAAGATGGCATAGGTGTAAGTTTTCACGTTTCAAAACACGATGAACGCTACTCCGAGATTCTCCAACGGCAGTAGCGGTGGCTCGTACGTTGGCAGTCGGATTCCTCTGAATGGTATCCAACATATTTTGTTCCATAATGAGAGTTCGAGTCGTCCTCGGCCCACCCTCATCATGCTATTACCTCGTAATGATCAGTATTCACACAAATTGGGATGCAAATTAGTAAACATCCGGCTGTCCATTGCATCTCTCTGTGGGTACTTTTCGCGATGCAAACTTTCTGCTGCTCATGCATATCCTTCTGCCAATCTGTAAATCAGGTACACATCTGCCAGCTTGTTGTTTGTAAAGCGTTGTTTGTAACTCTGCGGGCGATGACAGCTCAAATGACTGCGGCAATGCAAGTCTGTTTTCTTCAATGCTCTTGTAAAGAACGCCACCTAGCGCCGAACGAAAACGCTTCCGACCATAGGTTGCTATGTAAATCTATATGCTTGTCATGTCCTTAACCTTCCCTTGACATGTATCCCAAAATCCTGGGACGCCCTGAATAACGCTCGTGAGGCATGCAATGGTCTTTTAGCCAATAATACTGATATATTTTGAAAGCGAAATATTTAATTATCCAGCAGAAAAGAAGCCAGACTATAATCTCTCTAACCACCATATCGTAAAATTTATGTTAAACATATATTATAGAAATGCGCCAATTTTGAACGTTTCTAAATTCTAAGGCAGTTGTTTTTTCCGCATAAAAATATTTTTTATCAACAAGTAAACAGAAAGTAGTTTGGTTTTCTTCAATTAAATATTTTTTAAATGTTATGAATTTAAACCTGTTCAAAGCATCCATGTAGTCATTTTTAACTCTCCAATACTTTTTTCTCAATAGCTGCTGTTCACCAATTACATTTGAGACACACTTGAATAATAGCTGGAGAAATTCACACGTAACGTCTTGAACACAGGTGAGAGTCTCATTACAAGAGAATTTACATTTGGTTCCCTTGTTGGATAAATCAGAATATACACACTTTAATCAAAGACAGAAACTTGTTCAATGGTCAACTTAAACAACATGGAAGAAAATAGAAGTGTGCTATCAAAGGCTTCAAAGACATTGGAAGAAGAATAATTGCAACAAACAACAAAAAATTGACCCAGTTTGTAAGAACTCTAATCTATTGAAAACCCTAGATCAAATTAAAGTATTGGGAAATAGCTAAATCCCTGAACACGTCTTTCACTTCTATTGCGGTCCAGTCTTTAAACGTTCCTTGTTACCAGCTGGATTAACAGTGGATTCTAATGAAAATGAATGTGCCTAATGCACTTGCAGTGCACTTTTCTTGTTTTTGTGAAATTAATTCTCAGTAAGAAGGTAGCAACATAAACCTTCTGTCGAAACATTGCTTCTGGTGGCAAAGGTTTGATGACCTGTTCTAAACGACATCACTTTGGAAGAATTAGATATTGCTATTAACACTATTAAAGGGAATCGCTGAGAATTGATTTATTTTCGAAGAAATAGTTAAACAACATTTTGGCGAAAAACCAAGATAATGCTTGTTTACCATCTTCCACACATCATGGAAATCTGGCAGTTTATATTTAATGGAAAATTTCCATTAACTTATCATTTCTCAAACCAAATATATTTATTTGGTATTCCGTAGCTTATTCCGTAAACCAAATATATTTATTTGGTATTCCGTAATTTAACGCAGGAACTATAGACCTATCACTCTCACCACTTACAGTAATTAACCTGCTACAGCCATGCAATAAAAAGGAACTGTTTGAGATTTTTAAAGCGAAAGGGATCAGAACCCTTGAATATTATTCAAAAGAGTACTTTGTACACGTTTATAAACAGCTAACTGAGTTTTCAAAGTGTTTCTGACTATTCCAGGCAATACTACTTAACAACGCAAAACTGGAGCTGGAAATACAGTCGAATTTTGACCCAAAGGATTTTAAATCAAAGTGAGCTTTTTTCCTGTGGGCATTTTTCCGGTCACCTCTTGAAACGGCATTTTGCGTCGAATCACTATAAGCGGATGTATCACTTTTCAAATTATTGCCATCAAATATTATCGCCCTATATTATATTTAAAGGAAATGATAACGAAGAATCTGCATGCATGTTTTTCGATTCAACGATTGTGAATCTAGCCACATACCTAGAGACCATCAAATTTTGAATAACATAGTCCTCCACCCGAATATGGTCATCTGGAAGATCCAATCTTAAATTTTGAATTTCGTTTATTTATAGCATGTTTTTTAAAGCTTACCGAATATTTTATTAAAAATCTCAGTGATTTGAAAGCGAGCAGTGACAACACACTGTACGGGAAAAAAAAGTTTTATCTCCAGCGTGCGAAACCCGTGTGTGTGAGAAATTCCAAAGATATGCTGTTTTTAAATATTTTGAATAACATAATGAAGAATCTGCATGCATATATGTATGAACCTGCCGCCATGAAAACATGATATTACCCAGGGCTATCAAATTTTGAATAACGAAATCCTCCACCCGAACATGTGTACTTGTGTTTTGTTTCATATTTTGTAAAACTTTAAATTAGTAACAACTACACCGTTTTAAAAGCGAGCAATGGCCTCACTGTACGGATTAACACATTGCTATATTTTGTGTGTGTATTTGTGTTTGTGCGCGCGAAGTGTTCTAAAATGTAAAATGTTTTTTTCATGTTTTAAATTGTAAATGTAAATAAATTTTAGAACATTGTATTACAATGTTCTAAAATGTAAAATGTCGGTAAAAAAAGAATCTGAAAGGTTTCCGATCTTATATTACGCCCAAAGAGGCTTTTTTTAACGTTTTGCGTGTTATCTTCATTTGTTAAATATCGTGTTCTTTGCACTTAAACTATAAAATTCAACTCAACAGCAATATCACAAAATAATTTTGCGAGAGCGTATATTTAGAATTTCCGATACGCGCCGGAGATAAAAATGTCTTTTTTTTTCGTATAGCACTGCCCTTGCTCACTTTGAAATCGTTGAGTTTGTTGATCAAAAATGCATTAAAGTTTTACGAAATACGAATAGATAATAAAACAAATTCCAAATTTGGGCTTCCAGTCACCCATATATTCAAATGGAGGAAATTTAAATGCGTTAAATTTTGTTTGCATTTTAACAGTGCGAAAGTCATCCGTGCAGTTTTTTCGTTATTTAATATCTTTAAATATAATGCAGGGCTGTAATATTAAGTGGCAACAATCTTAAAAGTGAACCAAAGCATAATGTCAAAACGAAATTAATATCTCATCTAGGCAAATTGCTTCCTTGTGCTGAAAAAAAAAAGATTATGAAGATATCATTGGTTTTGCTTGCATTCAGTCTATTACGCACGTAGCAATATATTTCCTTTCAGGTTAACAAGCATTAACTTTGCATGTTGTATTCTATAATCCCTGTACAGAATTCAAAAGTTAGTAATTTTATTTTGCCAAGTAACTTCCTATTTTAGATGCTAATTTTAAACTCTAAATTTCACGTGAATGGATTTGTTTGGGAAATATCTATGCTGCAACTTCACGATAAATTACATATAATTTGCTTCTTTTAAAGTTAGAAAATAACATGGAGGTAGCTGAACAGTTTTTTTCAAGATTTGATGATATACGATTATAATAAAATTTTTAATTTATTTGGACTCATCTAATTTTCTCATAGTGTCATTTCCAATGTCTAATGTCATAAAGCTATCCGAAATTTATTTTTGAAATTTTATTAATTTATCTTTATTTATTGGAATTTTAAAATCCAATTATATTGCAAAAATGAATATGAACAAATTTCATTAAAAGTTAATTGTTCCTTAACGGCTATAAGATTCAGTATATAACGCTTTGCAAATTTAGCATTTTAGAAGTTATTCTGTTTTGAATGGAAAACAAACACTTAGAAGTAGCTATTTTAACACCTAGAGACGAATTTTGTAACCACAGCTAAAGGTAACTTGAAGAAAAATAGTTTTATACATTTCTATGATTATAAAGAGAAAAGAAGTAGTCAACAAGGTAAGAAGAAAGAACGCTAGTAATAAATTAGCGCAAAGTGCTTCTGAATTTTAATTGAAGTTTAAAAGTAATGCTTGATCCAACTCATCAGCAAGAAGAAATGAATTTTACGAAGTAAATTAATACATGAACTACATTAAAGCTAAAACTAAGATACTAAGGCATTGATCTGAATGAAGAAATTAATAAAGAAGAAAGAAATTTTGCATAAATTAATCTCCCTTGTTTGGAGCTTCATAACAGAACTTGTCAAGGGAAAAGTGTTTTGAAGCTCCATACTTGCTCGATTAATAAGAAAGCCAAGACAAATTTCGTTCCGACCTATCAGAAGCGCAATATTTAATCAATTAGTTAACTAATTAGTAAAATTAGAAGTCTCATTGAATTGTTTCTTAAGAAATATTTACTGCAAAATAAACGTTTTTGTAATAAATTCAGAAAAAAATATAAATGATATAGTATGGGAATAACTCAATTTTTTAAAAGTTAATGCTATATTTAGATAATTAGATAGCTCCTTCGTTTGCTGAATGAGGGAAGTGTTTAGTTTTTCTTTCTATTAAGGACAAGAAATTTAAACAAAAATTAAGAATCATGAACTTACCTGCTTGCTGAATTTCCTCAGCTAAATATAATGATGTGTTAAATTCTTGAAGATAGTCAGAAGATTCCGTATACTTTTGCATACGGAAAGAAATATTTCCGTCATCAAAGGATTCTGATTTTACATTTCTTTCACTTGTATTAACTTCCTTAAGAGTAAAGATCCTCAAACAAATCACTTTGAAAACAACTGGGTACATAACTGAGTGTTTCATACCTTCAAATTTTGCTCTAGTCGTTAATGGAATACTTCCTGCTCTTCAAGAACGAAATGCTCGTTTAATGGCTTTTATTCTTCATTAAATATACATAAACCTTGCACTCAAGATAACGACCATATAAAGTGTTGATTATATTTAAATAAGGATAATAACCGTATTCATTATCCTTCTTTAAATATAATCAACACTTTAAACTGGAGGTTTCAGCGCCTCTTTGATGAATTGATTTTTTTTATCAGGAACTTCAGCGTTTCTAAACGTGATGTTTTCCAAACAGATGTGTGTAATGATATATGTGAATAAATGCACACTAGTTGTGCATTTCTTTTTTATAAAGATTACATTTAAAAAGGAAAACTAAAACCTAACATTCTTTCGAATATTTTATTTGGTGATAAATTTATTATTCAAAATATGTTAAAATTTTTTTAATATAAATATGGCCAAACAAATACTCACATATCATTAATAAATTTAAATACTGCACTTAGCAAAGTGTCCAGTAAGGAAGATATAATGTAGCTATTTGTAATATTTTAAAAACATTTGAATTTTGTCAAACACTCGCTGTATTAATGGAATTTGTACAATAATCTGTTTATTTGCAATCAATAACTGAATTTTGTTTAAGACAATTTAAGAAGAAAGATTTTAAGAAATTTCGTGCAATAGAAATATTTGATTTTGCATTTTTAGAGAATTCACGACCTTAAAAAGGAACTATTTCCATGTACAGATTCAACGTCATAAAAGTATAATTATTTAGACTTTATTATATATTGATGGAACATTTACATCAAACGAAACTTACATAATAATAAAAAATCAATTTCATATCTTGGGTTTTAAAAGTATGTCATTTTAAGTTGATGGACATTACTAGGAAATCTGGTATGATATTTTTATCTTATTTCTGAAAATAAATCGCAAATTATACGGCATTGCTTCCAAGACTGGGTAAATTATGTATCAAACCAACCAACCTACACAAATGATCCGTCGCATTTAAAAGGTAAAAATGGAAATATATAAAAGTATTCATTTGATGCCCATAATGATGATAATGTATTAGCATAACTCAAGAGAAAATTAATTTTATCCGTATCACATTAATGAAATGAACAAATGAGTCTTGCTAAATAGGAACAATTTTATTATACCCAGATCTCATAAAAAAGAAAACCTGTACCTTCTATGAATCAAAGATAACAGCAATACATGGGGTTTTTTGAGAAGAAAAAGGGACTGCGAATTTTAGGTTCATCTTCAATAAATTTTGAACAGTTACTGAAAGTACAGTATGAAGTTGAATCCACATTAAATATCCTTAATTTACATTTATGATGATTCGGAAGTGCTTGGACCTCTGACAAATCAACTTCTTCTTCAAGACATAAAACAGGTGGGGGTACTAGATTTAGATTACATCGACTCCCAAAAATGGAATGTGCGAGCCAACTACTACAATATACTGAGGCAAGAACTCAGAAATCGCTTCCGCAAGGTATACCTAGTCCAGCGTTTGCAGAAAGCCAGTGTTTCATGTCAAGGAATACAATTTGGGGACATAAGTCCTCATAGAACTAAAGAACAAAAACGAGTAATCTGGCCCATTGGTAAAACTGTAAAATATCATTATAGTAGAGACGGTGCTACAAGACAGGTACAAGTGAAAAACAGACGGTTCTACCAGAGTGGTAGCAATGGAAATTTGGTAAAGACTAATCAAAATATATCTACTAGATGTTTGAGTTACTATCGATGGTGCGCTATACTGGCAACTGCAAAAGGATCTAGATATGGGAGACTTTTAAAAAGAAGGGAAAACTAATAAGCATTTTATACAATATATAAGTTTTTGACTTTAAAAGCTTTGTGTTTACTATATGTTATGTCATATGTATTCTGTTTTAACCCCGTTTTTCTTTCATTCATTTCTAACTAATGTACGGCTGTTATTTTTATACTTGGTTCTTAAAGTTACGAAAGAATTTGATAAAATCAGAGTTTGAAGGTGCTATACCTTTTTCAGATATACCAGAATGAGCCTTAAACAACGGCAATGGTAACCATAGTTTAAGAATTTTGCGCGAGCTTTAGAAAGCTTTCAAAAGATTAAAAGTATCTTGTTCTAAAGTTAATTTCATTTCTTTAACATTGAGTTAAAAATGGAGTTCTGGTTACTTGTTAAGTGGCATACAAATTAAAATCAGCTGCGTATATTCGAGATTCATTGCATGTTATAAAAGTTTCAGCAAGAACTAAAAATTTTCAAATAAAATACATCCCAATATATTTATATTAATCTCATCGGTTATTTTATGGATTTTTTTCTCTCACTTCTTTCTTCCGTTTCCTTCCCAGGATGCAAATTATTTCGGGAGTTTTTTAGCTGAAGTTTTTAGATTTTAAGACAGAGCGTATTTCTGCCTGTATGCGCGCACTTTACGCTTCTCTCAGTCTGATAGCTTGAAGTTTAAAATCGCCTTTGCATTTGTTTGCTGCTGATATTTCCATGTTTACGCCGATTAGCGCTGGGAGCCAAATTCGTGTCAAATTGAATTATGTAATCCTTATTTAAATTTACATTAGCTTATTTAAAATTACATGGCTGTTATTTTAAGTTATTTCCGTATATGATGCTGGAAAAATGTTTCAAACACGAGATGTGCTCTCCTGTTAAAAATTCAGATTTAATAGAAAGATTAAATTTTAACCTTCTCAAGACTTCGTCATTATCTGTAGACTCAACGACCTAAACGACAAGTGACTACAAGTCTGTTACAAGTTTGGACCATAATATATGTTATCACAGAAAACCATATGAATTTAATAATATTTTAAAATTATTTATAACACTATAAAGTACCCTCTCTAGAGTGACCACTCATGATTCCATATGCTTTTATTCTTCTGTTGATGCGGTCATCTTAGAAAAGTAATGACTAATACCTATGCTTATTTATGGTCACATCTTGTATAAAACGTATGATTTTCCGTTAATATTTATTTGCTGAAATGTCCACCAGTGTCCTACAGTCAAGCAGCTAAACACTGGTAGTTTGACGCAAGAAAAAATAGCTGGAGATTTTTGTGGTTTACCCTAATATGTAAAGCGTTTATGAGCCAGTTTCTGAAAGCCCTACATAAAGACATCACTTTCGTGAGGTAAATATTCCAAATGTGATTTGTCATAACCCAATAAATTTATATCTCCTACTGAAATATTATATAGCTACCCTGCCACATGTTTCATCATAACTAACGAATTAGCATCCAAAAGATTAACTACAGGCTGTAAAAAAAATGTTAATTCAATTTAAGAAGAGAAGAAGAGTAAACTGAAATTAAACAACTTAATTTTGAGTAAGAGAATATCAAATTAACAAAAATGGAATAAAATAATTTTACAATTTGATAAATAATAAACAAATTTTATTATAAGTAAACTCATGCGGTTACTTAGTATCCTTTTTCCAATTTCTTTTAGACTCTAATTTTCATAAGCAGTTTTCCAATAAAACTTTATAAAAGAAATTAATTAAATAACTAATTTTAACAGCTAACTGCGTTAATTTAAAAGTCCTATTAACTGTTACATGTAGCATTATTTCTTCACAACGCTTTAGCTTTTAAATGCTTAAGTTTCTTAGTTACGGTTTTAAACCAAAAACTATTAATTATTCCACATGAAAATTATTAATTATCCCGCAAACGCCTTCCCTATTCTAGCAATTTTAGACTATATTTTTCATGGAAAACTGCCAATAAAACTTTGTGAAAGAGGTTAATTAAATAATGTCCTTTAATAGTTTAGTGCATGAATTTAAAATTCTGTTCTATAAGTAGAATTAATTTTGCTTACATTTTCAGCTTTTGACTGCTTAAATTTCCTTACTGCATTAAAACAAAATTTTTAAAAAATCCAAGAAGTGAAGTATAGAGGTAAAAATGTTACTTATTCCAACTTGCGCCGAAAGCGGTTATGCGAATGAACATTTACAACTTTCAGAAGCCTGAAGAACACATGCCTGCGATGTTCTCCTCATGCGATAATTTTTCTATGTGCTTTATTTCTTACTACGATATCTTTTACGACCATGCTTTAAAACTGTGTTTTTTACCCGCTTTATTTTCGAAGACAATGTTTTATATCATTTTGTTTGAGAATCACAATGTTTTCTTCATATTTTCTTTTCTCCCACTAATGTGTTGTAAAACGATGTTGCATTTAATTGACCTTGCATTGTTTCTCTTTGCTATGTTTTCGTCCTCTATGTTTTTTGCCTCTATGTTTTTGCTAAGTATCGGAACAGAATTCAACGCCGCTGCTCATGTTTGGTGCTGTCTGAAAATGCTATCAGTTATAATGGCATGGGAAATGCAGACGAATGAATTCTTAACCGTTTAGATCTTAAGTAGTGTGCTTTAACCACTTGCGCTACGATTAAATTTCACGGTTGCGGTGCCGTACGCTACAATATAACAAGCGGTAAAGTGTCTCATTTACGCCGCTCCGCGTTTGCGAGTGCAATCCAGAGCTGTAACTCGAGAAATAAACTGTTTGAAATTAATCATATCTTGACTTATTTAATAACTTCGGACGAATGGTAATATATTTCGCAGAGTAAACCTTTTTAATTAACAATGAACTTATTTATTTAGCATTCTAAACATTACAAAAAGGATAACATTCCGTCAGCTAGCAAGCTCGTAGTAATATATAATAGTCTGATGTGTACACCACAAGACTTCCTTGTACGGAATATTAAATTATACGCATTTTCTCTTGCATTTCATTTAAACTTATTGGAGTGAATGAAATCTACTTCGCCGACAGCGCA